CTGCCCAGTACTGGCTTTCGCAGATTGTGATAAAGGGGAAGTTAAATTTTAATTCAGGCGAGTCTCCTGATTCAACCCCGGGCCTTGCACCCAGTTGCAAGCCCTAGCAATTACAGATGCTGTAAGCTACTCCTGGCCTTTGATGGTTTTTGACTCCTTCTTTTCTTCCTCCCTACCTGGCTGCCTCTTTGTGCCCAGATAGGAAATGCAGATTGGAACTAACTTGGCAAATTGTTTGGGGTGGGGGCATCCCCCTGCCCCCCCCCAAATCAAAACCAAATGAATCACTGCTCGTATCGTAAGCTAGCTAAGATGGAGTCCTGCTAATAAACCAAAGATTTTCTCTCTGTGCAGGTAGTCCTCGACTTACGACCGTTCACTTAGCAACCGCTCGAAGTTATGACCAACCCCCCAAAAAGGGGACTTAGGATCCAGATTGGAAGTTCCAATGATTGGGTCTCCTTTGCGATCGCGTGACATGGCAACAATACGGCCACATTGACAGCCATTTGTAGCATCCCCTGGTCACATGATCACGTTTTACGACGGTCTTCCTGGGAAACCGGCACTTCCTGTTTTCAGCAAAACTATACCCGTTGTTATTGGTTCACTTAATGACTGTAGTGTTTGCTTAACCACCACCACAAAACAGATTGTAAAAATGTGTTGCTCGTGTGAGCAACCCATTTTGCAACCATTACGACGTATGGCCATAACGGGCAGGCTCCATTATGCTCATATGCCGAGGACTGCCCGTATTGGTTAGAAGTGATTGTTTCAATCTCTTTAGGAACATAAGAATTCTGCTGATTCAGACCCCACTTAGTTTCCTGCACTGTGAACCTCAGTATTTCTTTTTTTGTTGTTCAATATTTTATCAAATTTTTTATGATCACAATCCTTCATATTTTATCAGCAACATATTGTCTGGGTTCTAATATTTAGTTTACTAATACATGTTAAACTCCTTTTTCTCTACCTCATTTTTCTAACCATTGATAAAACGTATCCTATGTTCTAAAAGTATTCTGAATCTTCTTTCTCTTTCATTTTCAGTCTGTCCATTTCTGCACAATCTAAAATGTTCTTAATTATCTCTTCCTCCGCTGGTTAACCTCAGTTATTTCTGACATTTCGTAAACCAGAATTCAAGGGGAGCGGGTGGCTCTGATCCATCAAAATACAGCTAGTCCTCGACTCACAGCCGTTCATTTAGTAACCGTTCAGAGTTACGACAGTACTGGAAAAAGGGACTGATGTGACGTCCATTTTTCACACGACCGTTGCAGCATCTCCGTGGACACATGATCAAAATTCAGACGCTTGACAACTGATTTGTGTTTATGACTCTTAGAGTGTCCTGGAGTCACGTGATCCCCTTTTCAGAGAAGCAACCTAGAACTAAGGAGAAACTTCCTGACAGTTAGAACAATTAACCAGTGGAACAACCTGCCTCCAGAAGTGGTGAATGCTCCAACACTGGAAGTTTTTAAGAAGAGACTGGACAGCCATTTGTCCGAAATGGTGTAGGGTTTCCTGCCTGAGCAGGGGATTGGACTAGATGACCTCCAAGGTCCCTTCCAACTTGATGATGATGATGATGTCTGGGGAAGCCGGATTCACTTAATAACCACATTAGTAACTTAACAGCTGCAGTGATTCACTTAACAGCTTGATTTTCAGAGTTTTGTACTTTTTCCTGTAGGCAGACGTGTAGATCTATAAAAGGCGTTCTCCTGCCACTTAGAATATAGCTGAGCCTTTTTTTGCAGCTGTAAAACTATCATCCCTCTCGATGCGTCCTTGTCTTTCTTTCTCTTCATAGAGTGAAATACAAGTGCTAAATTCTGCCTCACAGAAACATTATCATATTCAAAGGCTCCCAACTTATGATTGTAAGAAATATTGCTGCCTATAAGCCCAGATTTTAAAACCTTTAGATATCCATTATGTTGACCTATAGTTAATTTCATAATTACTACCTTGGGCTTGATTGAGGAGCCTAAAAAATAAAGTTTCTTTTTTTTTTTTCCTGAAGCATTCATCCTTTCCACATCTCCTCTCCCAACATAGTCCCCTTGGAGCTTTTTTTAAAAATCTTAATTTTAATTGTTTTGTATTTTTTTATCATTTTGGAAGCCACCCAAAGTCGCTGCAGCATTGAGATGGGCAGCATATAAACAAACAAACATATAGAATTCCTCCTTTCCAGTTTTAATTTGGAAACAGGAATTGCCTGAAAAATAGAGGATTTTTCTCTCCTTCCTGCAACCCTTGTTTCTTTTTTAAGTTGGGAGGATTGTGTCTGTTCACATTTCTTTTTATTATTATTATTATTATTTAGCATTGCTGCTCTGAGTAATTTTGCCTTATATCCGGATTTCATTAGTTTTAAAATAGAAAGCATGTCTTGTTTGCGTAGCATGTAGTTTGATTGGTTGGGATTGCTTCCTATGAATAATGTTTGAATTATTCTCCGCAAATGGATGCATCTCTTTCCATACCACGATAAAATATACAAACCAAGCACTTATCATGGAAGGAAAATATTTAGGAAACTGGGGATTTTAAAACCAGGCTTGGCTATATTTATAAATTCATGAAGATTATTAACCTTACGCTTTGCAAAGCTTGGCTAATTATCTGTGGGCTCTTTAGGAATTTTGGACAGCTACCTAAATTAGAGGTATCCAAGCTTGGTGACCTTTAAAAATTTGTGGACTTCCAGCTAGCCAAATTTAAGACTTGCGGATTTCAATGCTAGCTGGAGAACTCTGGGCGTTGAAGTCCATAAGCCTTAAAAGTCACCAAGCTTGGACACCCCTGACTTGAATAGTATCTCCAGTTGTATATTTATATATTTAACGTCCGTGATGTCTGCAAGCTGTTGTTTTTCTGACTCTGTTCTACCTTCCTGGCGTTTGGACCTATGACTGCTTCTTTATCGCGTGTAACTCCCCCCCCCTTCCCAAACTAACTCATCTTTATTTTAATTCAGCGAACAACATTCCGCTTGTCCAAAAAACCGCAATCAATTTGAACATCATTGCGGGCTTGAGTTGATTGTCTCTCCTTCAAGTATTATGTCAGTCTCAAGGAAGAAAGGATAACATATATGAAAACGAAATTACGATCCCATACAACCTGGCTGATTGAATCGTCCGTCCTTTCATTGCCGTGGTTCTCGTACATTCCTATTAAAATATTCAATCTTGTTCCTTTCTTGAAAAGCCTTGTTTGGAAAGGGCAAACTTTGAAGAAGAACAAAAAAAACAATCCCTCATTCCCCGGAGAGATGGAATCTAAGGCTCCTGTCGTATTTACGTATTGGGAGGCCACGTGTGTGTGTGTGTGTGTGTGTGTGTGTGTGTGTGTGTGTGTGTTTGTGTGTGTGTGAGAGAGAGAGAGAGAGAGAGAGGGAGAGATGCATTGCACAAGGTCTCTGCAGCCCTGGTGTTTATTAATAAATATGCATTTTTAATTATCGGGTGGCCTTTTTGCTTGAAGAACCAGATGACGTGGCAGGTCCTACCCTGGGTAAATTGACCTTGGGATGTTACTTTTCCTGCACATGCATACACACACAAACACACCGTCCCTGCAGAATGTGCCTACAGCAACATGATTTCATGGGGGCTGTTGAGGTGATGTTTATTGGTTTATTCGTCTCAGAAGCATTCCAATTAAAATAAGGGCATAGTATATATAACATAAAATTTAAAATATAAAATACAAGATGAAAATATTCAAGGGGTGGGGAACGATGGCCCCTTTTTATGACTTGTGGACTTCAATTCCCAGAATGCTGGCTCGGGAATTCTGGGAGTTGAAGTCCACAAGTCATATAAAGGGCCATCGTTCCCCACCTTTGGTCTGTTCAATGATTTGAATCATGTGTTGTTAATGTTAATATGTTAACAATATAATGATAATAATAATAAAGTTGGAAGGGACGTGGAGGTCATCTAGTCCAACCCCCTGCTCAGACAGGAAACCCTATACCATTTCGGACAAATGGCTGTCCAGTCTCTTCTTAAAGACTTCCAGTGTTGGAGCATTCACCACTTCTGGAGGCATGTTGTTCCACTGGTTAATTGTTCTGTCAGGAAGTTTCTCCTTAGTTCTAGGTTGCTTCTCTCCTTGATTAGTTTCCTCCCATTGCTTCTTGTCCTGCCTTCAGGTGCTTTGGAGAATAGCTTGACTCCCTCTTCTTTGGGGCAGCCCCTGAGATACTGGAACACTGCTATCATGTCCCCCCTCGTCCTTCTTTTCTCTCTCTTTGCTTTGTTAAGCAAATCTGGTTTTCCCGTTGAGTTTGCTTTTCAGAGGGTCGCAAAAAGCGATCACGTGACCCATGAGTCAGTGCAACTTTCATGAATACATGCCTGTTGCCAAGCGCCCAAGTTTTGATCACGTGACCACAGGGATGCTGTAACTGTCATAAGTGTGGAAAAACGATCATAAGTCACTTTTTTCAGTGCCATTGTAACTTTAAATGTCACTAAATAAATTGTTGTAGGTAACAATAATAATAATGATGATAATAATAGTTGGAAGGGACCTTCGAGGTCATCTAGTCCAACCCCCTGCTCAGGCAGGAAACTGAGGACTGCCTGTATAGCTTATGCATCAGAATCTTCTCACCTAATGATCAGCCCCTGGATAGAGTTAGCGAACAGGTAGCTTGGCAGTACATTATACCTGGAAGATGTTTTGATTTCTCCGTGTCATTTCTCCTCCGTAATCCTGGAATGCTGCGGAGAGTTTTAGCAGCAAGAAATAACCGGGTGCAATGCTACTTATCCCAAATACAGTGGGCCAGGTGCCGAAACCCGTGGAGACCCCTCTCTCTTTCTCCTTCTTATTTTATTGACTTTATTTTTGTTGCTTTTCTTGCTTTCTCCTGGTTCCTGAGCGAGCTAGGCTTACAAACCTTAATAACTTTTAATAATTTAAAATTGTTTGCGTTTCTCTGCCTCCTGTCTCTCTCTTTCCTCCAGGACTGAACTGTATCGATCACTGTTTGGCAAGCAAGTCCATCTGCAAGAAGGAGGCCAAGCCTAGTGATCCGAAGGCCACCTTTGCAGGTTCTGGAATGTTCTCAAGTTGGGATAGTTCCACCACCCTACAGTAGGCCTCGTTCAGGGAAGCCAAGGTAGCATTCATCCATTTGATGGAGAAGGAAGCTGCCATCCATGATCACACTGGGAAGACAGAAAAAGTTTGTGTCCTACTCCCCACCCCACTTTCTCAACTTCTCTCAAGATGAGCATGTCAATTTGTCATGCTGTTTCCTGTGGGATCTTCAAGGACACAGTGATCGCCACTGTCACTGCATCCCGATGGATGGATGGATGGATAGATGGATGGATGGATGGATGGTGACGCAACTTGCTTGATGAAAAAAAAAAGACCTTCCTTCACGTTTCCTGAAAAAACAACAACTTGGTAATACATTGCATAAGTGGATGTTACAACATTGGCCCCCAAAGTCGTGGAATAAAATTGGATTTAATTTTTTTTAGTGTGTGTGTACACAGATGTGTTTCTTGTAGAGAAAGAGATGCTCTTCTCAGTGAGTGCCACAGGACAATACTTAAGTTCTTTTGATTTTATTCTTAATTGTCCCATCTCAATTCTTTAGTTGTGCCTTTCCTGTAGTTTGAAAGTGGAAATCTAATTTTTTGAATGTCTCTTTGAACAGCCCTGGAATGTCCATCCCTCCCTCCCCAAAAAGTTGGGTGATATATTTGGAAGCTAAATTATCATGTTCAAAGATCAAAATTCCTCTGCCTTGACTGACTGCACTTTCAAATCTGGAATGCTTACAGCAGGGGTCTTCAAACTTGGCAACTTTTAAACTTGTGGACTTCAACTCCCAGAATTCCTCAGCCAGCCCTGGGAGTTGAAGTCCACAAGTCTTAAAGTTGCCAAGTTTGAAGACCCCTGGCTTACAGGAACCCCGTGGTTCGAAATGAAACCCACCGTTAAAAAAACTGAAATATTTTGCACACCCATCTTTAGAGCAGAGGCCGTTGGATTCTTCCTGTTCTTATCTATTATTCATCCAACTGATAAATACTTGCGAGTTTTTGTCCTAGTCCAGAGCTATTAATATATTTAATTATATTTGCTAGTAGGGGTTTGAGGGGGCCTCGCCTTATCTTCTCCTCCTTGTAGAAGTGAGTTCCTGAGTAAATCTGCTAAAGTACAATTCACTTGTTTTGATTCAGAAGATCAAAACGCTGGAAATTAAAATCTCGTAAAGTGGATTTATTAGCCTGCTGTGATCAGTCTCCAGTGAAGATTATTTTGTATAAATATGTCCCTGTGTGTAATAATACAACACACTTATACTGATTGTCTTTGAACTCATGAATGCGTGCAAACACACACTCACACAAATGTAGCCAATAAAGTATAGTCCTACACTTTTATATTTGGGTGGATCTAATGTCATATGTGTATGTGCCTTGAATGATAAACGCTTTTCTATATATCTATTGAGCTTAAAAATCAAAGTACCATTTCAGCTAATAATTAAGAGAGCTTTCCATATCAGCTGTTTAAATTAATAATTAAGAATGAGAGCTGAGTACCTATGTTGTAAGGATTGCAGTGCTGATGAAATAGATTAATTGCCGAGGAATGTTTTTTTATTATTTACTTATCAAGTTTAGAATACTGCCCATCTCACTGTCTAAGTGACTCTGGGCAGTTTACAAACGAAAGAACATTCAAAGGTGAAATAACCTAATGTGGAATTAGTAAATTCAATGACAAAATATTTAAACTAAAACAATAAATGAATTAGAAAAGTCTTTTATATTTCAAATTGACTCAATATCTTAACTTTTCCACCAATGTATGAGATTTCCACACTTGGAATATTGCATCCAGTTTTGGCCACTGCGATGTAAAAAAGATGTTGAGACTCTAGAAAGAGTACAGAGAAGAGCAACAAAGATGATTAGGGGACTGGAGGCTAAAACATATGAAGAACGGTTGCTGGAATTGGGTATGTCTAGTTTAACAAGGAGAAGGACGAGGGGGGACATGATAGCAGTGTTCCAGTATCTCAGGGGTTGCCCCACAGAAGAGGGAGTCAAACTATTCTCCAACGGACCTGAAGGCACGACAGGAAGCAACAATTGGAAACTAACTAAAGAGAGAAGCAACCTAGAACTAAGGAGAAAATTCCTGACAGAACAATTAACCAGTGGAACCACCTGCCTCTAGAAGCTGTGAATGCTCCATCACTGGAAGATTTTAAGAAGAAACTGGACAGCCATTTGTCTGAAATGGTATAGAGTTTCCTGCAGGGGGGTTGGACTAGATGACCTCCAAGGTCCCTTCCAACTTTTTAATTATTATTATTATTATTTTCTTAAACATAAAGATTAGAAACGTCATTGTGGCTGTTGTTTTTAGCAATTAGGTCAGCACTGTTTTGGTGTTTTGATGCAAAAAAAATATTAGTCCTCAACATATGGCCATAATGGAACCTGCCCATTACGATTGTTAAGTCATAACAGTCATCAAACAGATCAGTAACGTGAGTGATTTTATTGCCTTTTTTTGCAGTGTTTGTTAACGCGGCAAAATGGCCACCGCAGCTATTAAACCACTTAGGCAAACCCACTTTTCACTACCGCTGCCATTTTGCCAAAAATCAGAAGTACCAGTTTTCAGCAAAACTGTCATAAAAAGCAGTTGGATAACCACGGGATGCTGCAAATGGCTATAAATAAAAGTATGCTGCTGAGAGTCTGAAGATCTGTCACATGACTTTGAGGGGGATTGTTAAAATTTTGAATCCTGATCCTAAGAAGTCCCAAGGTAGATCTGTCATAACTTCAAATGGGCGCTAGGGGTAGGAATGCAGTATTGTAGGCTGACTCTGCCCACTGCCTGGAGTTCGATCTTGACCGGCTCAAGGTTGACTCCGCCTTCCCTCCTTCCGAGGTTGGTAAAATGCAGACCCAGATTGTTGGGGGAGGGGCATCTGCTGACTGTAAACCGCTTAGAGAGGGCTGTAAAGCACAGTGAAGCGGTATATAAGTCTAAGTGCTATTGCTGTTACTGTTGCTAAGCGACTGGTCATAAACCAAGGACTACCTGTGTTGTCACCTGCCTAAGCTTTGCATCTGGGCCAGATCACACACCTGCAAGCATTGGGTGACCCGTAGGCAAAATACAATTTGTGATAGAAAGCGCCCACCTGCATGAATTCCAAAGCTACTTTTAGAAAACGAAATACTTTGTGAATTCCCATCAAGGTGTATTCTGCAAGTGAGGGCATAAGGGCAGTTACACCCGAACAAACATACCCCCCAAAACCCCAACATTTTCAAATTTTGCCACCTCCCGAGGTGCAGGAAATATCTGTGTCAAGGTGGGTATTGAATTTTGTCTTGGAAAATGTATATCGCGTGGACGAATAAATCTTTAGGTGCATTTGCAGCAAAGTCCTGGCTGTAGATCTTGGGGAGGTGCATTGATTTTTTTCATCTTATTTTTCTTTTCATCCATCTTTGCATTCCTTGCTTTCCTCAGCTCAGAGGGGGTCAAAACAGTTCCAAGAGAAGCTGCTTTCAAATGACACCCTTCACGGTGTGCCATTTCTGCTCCTGGAGTCTGACAAGAAGCAAAGGATGGGAACTAATCAAGGAGAGAAGCAACCTAGAACTAAGGAGAAATTTCCTGTCAGTGAGAACAATTAACCAGTGGAACAACCTGCCTCCAGAAGTGGTGAATGCTCCAACACTGGAAGTTTTTAAGAAGAGACTGGACAGCCATTTGTCTGAAATGGTACAGGGTTTCCTGCCTGAGCAGGGGGCTGGACTAGATGATCTCCAAGGTCCTTTCCAACAAATAATAATAGAGTTGGAAGGGACCTTGGAGGTCATCTAGTCCAATCCCCTGCTCCGGCAAGAAACCTTGTACCATTTCAGACAAACGGCTGTCAAGTCTCATCTTAAAAACATCCAGTGTTGGAGCATTTACAGCTTCTGGAGGCAGGTTGTTCCACTGATTGTTGTTCCATTCTATTGTTCCGTTCTATTCCGTTAAGGAAATTATTTTCAGTGGTGAAAATGTCAGCCTGTTTTGTGTCTTTTGCCAGATTTTATCAGACTAAGGATCACTTCCTTTGTAGAGGTATAACCATCCATTTAGTGACCATTCAGAATTAAAACAGCACTTTAAAAAAAGGGACATGACCGTTTTTCACACTTATCACCGTTCTGGCATTTTCCACAGTCATAAAAATCAGGATGCTTGGCAACTGGCCTCTATTCTGGGAGTTGAAGTCTACCAGTTTTAAAAATTGGGCAGCCCTGCTCTTTAACGGTTTCAGGAATGAATGAAAAAAAAAATCTAATTAGGGTAGCAGGTATTTGGAAACTAGAGGATTTCAAGCTTGAAACATTTCAAACTTGAATCCTTGTGCAAACTGCTGCAAAGAATATTCGTTATTTGCACATGGAGAATTTGCTTAGCTTATTAAATTGTAGGTGACTTCAGACCTCCCTTAATACTTCAAAAAGATACTTGAACTAAGATTTCGATAGTATGTAAGTGCCTGCAAATGTAATGATTTATAAACTCAGTTCACCGAAAGGGGTCCAATTAACTAATTGGTTTGACAGTCTTGTTTTATTAACTACTGTGTACTTTGGTGTTTTTTTTATAAATACAGTAGGTTTATTATTCTGAGCATTGCAGATTAGACTTGCAAGTTTAACCTTTCTGTTTATAAACTCAGTTATATTCTTCTGGGCTAGGGTTTTATGACTGGTCACTCATGGCTAAGTAACTAACTAATGGCTTAGATTATGGCTACTATCTTCCATAAACATTTTCTTTGATTATTGAAACAAATGGGAAGATGAATGTGTAGGAAGGCTGAATTTAAAAACATGATAGTTTTCTCTTTCATAAATAAGACTTCTTTGGTGTTCATAAAGGTAGTCCTTGACTTACAACCATTTGTTTAGTGATTGGTTGAATTTACAACTGCACTGGAAAAAAGTGACATGTTACCGGTTCTCACACTTATGACCGTTGCAGCATCCCCACGGTCACACGATCAAAATTTGGTCAGTTGGCAACTGGCCTGTATTTATGACCCTTGCAACATCCCAGGGTCACGTGATGGTCATTTGTGACCTTCCCAGCTGGCTTCCACTAAGCAAAGTCAATGTGGGAAGCCACATTTGCTTAATGACCCTGTGATTCACTTAACAACTTCAGCGATTTGCTTAACCACCATGGCAAAAAAGGACGTAAAATTGGATGCAACTCACTTAGCAGTGGAAATTCTGGTTCCAATTGTGTTTGTAAGTCGAGGACTGCCAGTACATTAGAGATTGGCAAGACTAGTTCTATGCCAGCTTATTAAATTGTAGGTTACTGTATGCCTCCTTCCATCCATGTTGGATTTCAACTTCCATTATTCAGCACTTAGCCTGGCCATTGCACCAGAAAAATCCTTCAAACTGTGTTTGGTAGTCCTGTAAGTGGTGCCTTCAGCCTTAAGTGAAGGTTTGAGATATCTTGGATGGCATCCCATTCCTGCTTTGAGCAAGGAGCTTTGGGTGAGAAGATGGTAATACTGCATGGGAAATTTAGGTGCACATGGAGCAAAGGGATTTAAATACGGAGAGAGAAACATACTGACTTTGGACCAGTTTGTGTCCCTGTCTTGGTAAGTGCTGTGCTACAGAGGTGGCATCTTTAGTAGGGAATCCTTGTTGCATAATTTGAGAAACCATCTTCTCTTCTTCTCTTTTCTCTACTGTTCTTCCCTTCCCCTCCTCTCCCCTCCCCTCTCCTCTCCTCCCCTACTCTACTCTACTCTAGACTCCACTCTACTCCCTTCTCCCCTCCCTGTGCCGTCCCCTTCCCTTCCCTTCCCTTCTTGTGTCAAGGCCAGGCAGTGTAAAGTGGTGAGGAAGTTTGCTTTTACTGGCTTCATAGGTAATCCAGGAAGGACTTCCTCTGCAGCCATCCTCTTCAACCTTCTTCTCCAACCCATACCTTCTAATGATGTTGAGTGAGATAGACCACTTAAGAGCTCCTTATGGAGAAGGCTTCTATACAAGGTTCTCTTTAAAGCAATGTTTCCCAAACTTGACAATTTTAAGGCATGTGGACTTCAACTCCCAGAATTCCACAGCCAGCGTTGCTGGCTGTGGAATTCTGGGAGTTGAAGTCCTCATGCCTTAAAATTGTCAAGTTTGGGAAACACTGCTTTAAAGGATAGACTGAAGAGATCCAGGTTCCAAGTCATGTAAGTGACATCTTCAGTTGGACCTAGAAAGTCACTGTAAATAAAGCTTCCTAACTCAGATACATGAGGTGAATATGTTTTTTGTGTCTTTTCATTTTTGTCTTGTGTGATCTTTGTAAATTTCCCTTTGCTGCTGACTGGAGT